AAACCCAGGGAAAAAGAACCTAGTTGCTTCCATTGGAATTTTGCATGCATTCTATTAAGATATTTTAAACTAACCACAAGCAAGACTAGTTTTTTTGAATAGCATTATTGTCATTCATTCATTCATTCATTCATTCATTCATTCATTCATTCATTCATTCATTCATTCATTCATTCATTCATTCATTCATTCATTCATTCATTCATTCATTCATTCATTCATTCATTCAAGAAGATGCTTCAAATAAGCCTGTAAGTTCTCAGGGTATGGACAGGTTAATGACACCAGCGCTGTAAGCATGAAAGATGAAACAAAAATCCAATTATATCTCCCTTTTCTGCATATGGAGTTATAAGAAGAGCTGTGATCAAACTTGCTCCTACTGCAAATCTTGAGCTGAACTCAAGATGATTCAAAACGATGCTATGACCTAGATATACTATGGACTAGTACGGCAATAACGACAAAAAACTCTGCGAAAATCACTGCAACCTTGGGTGATAAAAATAGAAGCCATGAAGAACCTAATGCACAGAAGTAGAAGTTTACTAGTGTGCTTCATTTCAGCGTGTACCCTAAAAACACAGACTCTAACAGGAAATCCCAGACTTTGAGAAGACCCTATGTAATTACACAGGTTGGGTCTTGTCATTAGCCAATTTACTCTTCCTCAGACTTAAAGCTCTGGGTGTAACAAAATCTTTGGCATGAGGTGCAATCTCAAGAGATTTTTTTTCACCCTTCAAATTAATTTATTTTGTACCCACTGGAAGTCAATTCAGTAGCACTCACTGAGTTTTAGGATTCTTTTTGCTGCTGAGAGCCACCTTTTCAGGGTTTTGCTACACAACAGAACACTAAGCACATGTTTAAAATTTAACTTGTGCTGAAGTTTCCTCAAGATAAATGGGATGAAAATGAATGTTTCATTGTTTTGCTTAATACAGATGATCTCTGCACCTCAGAACTGTTCTGTTGCCAGCTGTCACTTACAACTTACAAAGATACGTCCATTTTACAGGACATGGATTGGATAATTTTAAACTAATCCCTGCAGAAAGAAAATAGTTCATTGGGAGGAGGAAAAAAAGCCTGTTAACGCCACCTCTACAAGTTGCTTGGACAGGTAGAAGAAAGTGGGAGAAAAGCCCAAGGTACTCTAGCTGACAGTGCAGACACATAGCTTACATTTTACTTCCCATAATCATTTATAAAAACAGAGCAAAATGAACAGCACTGGGTAGCTTGTGTTCCTATTATAATGTATAACCTCTCAGTACTTCATGCACAATAATACTTCTGTGAAAATCAACCTATATTACTTCTGCTTCTTTGTACAACTCTTTGCATGACTAAGAGCAGCAAGTGCCAACATGTTCTCCAGTAACTGAGATTGATTATTGGTGCTTCAGCACATCCATAATCATGATGCATGTAGCACGGAGAGATGGAATTATTTTCCTGCACTGTCCTGATTGGTAGAAATGACTTTTTTTTTTTTCCTAACTGAACTCAATATGTATAGGATGCATGCAATATGCTCTAGGGGAATGAGTATTGTGCTGGCTGTCAAAAGGTCTCTAGCTATACTCGTGCCTCACGTGGCTCTGAGCAAGACAAGTCATGCATGCTGACTGTTCACCACTCTTCACTCACAGTGATCACCACTGTAAAGAACATGCATTTACCAGTGGTTACCACTCTGTAGTATCCTAGATACTGTTGTTTTACTATTAACAACAGTGAGAATGTGAAAGAAGCATGAGAACTGAGTGTGGTACATGGTGGAAAGCATGGCCATGGCATGTCTGGATCTTATTTTACTAACTTGGGTTTTGCAGCTGGTTAACTGTACTGACTTGAAAAGAATTGCTGCAAATAGTTACTAGTGAAGTGACTGTAGGGTGTGGACACCTATATCTGCTTACAGCAACAGGAAACTGCAGATTCTTTTGCAGAAAAATTGGTTAGCAATTTTTTATTTTCTTCTACAGAGTATTAGATAATACTTTTATTTTTTCATGCCATTTCCAAAAGTCTTAGAGGACTGAATATTTTAAAGAAGTCACTGTTATGCCATAAAATCCTTGAAGTTATAAAAATATGCGAGATATTAGCGTTTCATATTTGGTAACTTCACAGTTTGGTGAATAATGTAACTATTTTGAAGTTCAACATCCTGCTGGAGAAATGGAAACAAGGATTAATTTGCCTTTTCAAACAGGCACTCCAATGGCCTTATTCTCCCTGTACTGAGCAATACTGTCTAACTGTGGTACTATAGAAACAACAAAAGTTAGTGCTACAGTAAATGTTATTTGATTACAAGGATAAATAGCACTTTGAGGTTGTGGAAATAGTGCACTGTAAACTCATTAATGATTAAGAAGTGATTAAGGAGTGATTAATTAAATACTTTTTAAGGTAAGATTCAGTGACAAATAGCTCAGCAACAAAAAAAGAACAGTAATATACCTATGCCATATCGAATTTTTCCAGG